ATTTGAATTGAGATGAGATAACTAAAATAAATTTTAGAAAATTAAAAGAGGGGAGGAGCTATGTAGAAAATGTAAAACAGTAGTAAGATATGGAATAGAACATAAAAATGAGCATGAAATTGAATTTGTGTCTGTACGAAGAAATGTAACCCGGGATTACGATACTTTCAAAAAAGATGTTTTATTTGTATTTTTTTGTGAAAACTCAAATAAAATTTACAAAAAAACCAAACAAACCTACCAAACTGTTAAAGACCTCACTTTAAAAGTTCAAAAGATCTCTCTTTTTGTAAGTCTGATCAGTTTGCCCCAGAAAAATTGTAACAAAGCCTATATTTTAATTAAGCTAGGGTAGGAACTCTAACACCTGAATTCTATTATGTAGAGTAAGACATTAATCTGAGCACCTGAGGTAGTTTTAAATCTCATTACTCAAATGCAAATGAATATGAATTATCTCTTATGCTGCAAGTTTGGATGTCATACTTTTCCTTTTGCTTAGAGCTGTCTTAATTATAGTTAATCTGTAAGCAGTTGCTAGTTAAGGATTAGCAATAGGATTTGTATGGTCCTTATAAATCATAATTCAAAACCATATCAATATTATATGTCTCTCAGATATATTTCTTATTTCACAGTGTTTTTTAAATAATATGTAATAAATAATATGGCAATGCCCCATGCTACAAAAGAGGAAATTATTTAGTACATAGAGATTACTAAAATTACATATACTAAATTATTTGGTATAAATTAGTCATTTTATTTTTATTTTTACCCTTTTTTATTGACTTCTACCCTGGTGGTACAATATCTTTGCCCTGACTGTTCTTACCTGTCAAGCCAAGGAATCAGGACCATTCATAAGGTTGCAGCATAGAAGATTTATCCAAGTATGTGACTAGTCAACTAACAGCTAGCGCTAAATTGGTGCTAGATAAAAGTCAGTGGAATTCAAGGGAAGCTGGACCTTGGCCTCTTGTGGCAATGCAAGGACTCTAGCGACATGGTTAATTAGAGTTGTGGTGGCGCAGTGGTTAGAATGCAGTATTGCAGGCTAATTATGCTAACTGCCAGCAGTTTGATTCTCACCAGCTGAAGGTGGACTCAGCCTTCCATCCTTCCGAGGTCAGTGAAATGAGGACTCAGATTGTTGGGGGCAATATGCTTACCCTGTGAACTGCTTAGAGAGGGCTACATAGCACTGTGAAGCGGTATATAAGTCTAAGTGCTAAGTACTATTGCTATTAATTCTACCCCCTTGCTCTGCCTGTTCTTCTTTTACATCACCCATTTTTTACGGGGGCACCTAACAAAATGCTGTGCTTAACCTGAAAAGAGTTGTCCATCTCTGCTTCAAACACATTAACAACTGTGTTCTGATATGCTAAAGATCCCTGTTATAGTTCAGAGAGCTGATTAACAAGGATGAACAGAAACCAGACCATCCTGTGGGTAACTTTCCTGCTGATTCTGCAAAGTGTTGCAGATGACAAGGATAATAAAACTCAGAAATCACTAGCCTTAAACCTCCAAAGGAAAAACCCTGTGTGATTTGAGGGGAGGGGGAAAGGAAGAAAGAAAGGAGAGAAATTTTGCCACCTCAAGCATAGTAAATTAGAGTTGGAACATGTTTTACATGCATCCCCAAGGAGGAACTTGTATAAGGAATCTGTGAAAAAAAAAATCAATTACATTCAGTTTAAAGGGACGCTTTCCAAGTGGTCAGCAAAGAAAACTTTTGGGATGCAGCACATCTGATTGCTCTCCCCATATTTCCTCCACCTTCAATTACTTTGCACACATGAAAGCTGCCAGAATGATCTTTCCCTTACGGTTTTCAAAGTCAGGAAATGAGCATTGGGCTGTCATGAATTGTCAGAGGTAGAACTAGATAATAAGCATTGGTAATTCAATAGCTGATAGATGGGAGCAGGGAGGGAAAGTCAAAGAACTGTATATGGGAAAATAGAACACGTACATAATTTTCTTTGGGACCAATTAATGTTATTCCAGTTTGCATATTCTTAATCATAAATATATTTTAATTTAAGTCACAGGCCAAAGGGGGGGGGGCGCATCTTTTATAATGAAAATCAACAAGTCACCATGTCGATTAAGGGTGGGCTTCTCGATATTTTCTGCTGTAATTTATAAATAAAAAGACAATCTAAATGAAATTACAGTAACCAATGGGAGCTGGTCACTGAAGAAACAAAGGAGGCCCAGCCGAACATAAATATTTTAGCATAGGATTCCAGAGACTTATTTTGTGAGCTAGATTAGAGAGGTTTCTTCTATGTGGCGGCAGAAAGAAAGACAGAAGGAAGAGTCCTTCCTTTCTCTTGTTTGCATTGTTAACTAGTGATTTTATAAAAAAAATATCACAGGGCAAATTATACTAGTATAGTGTTCAGTTGCAGTAAAGACAATCAGCCACAATATCCCACACAACCACTGTAGGAACGCTTGAGGCTACATTCGGTGGCCTGCACTACATTGATTCTGAAGTTCAAACGGCATCCTGTTTTGTATGCAAGAGATCACAGATTCAACCAATGGAGTTCAGAGGCATCTGCAGGATTCCTTCTTCTTATCAAAAATGATAAGAGCAGCACTGCATCGTCATACTACAAACTCTGACTTTTTCACAGATGTGATGCACATACAAAAAAAAGGAGTAAAGCTTACAATGCGACACCACAAGGCTGCTTTTCTCTTAATTCCACACACTCTCCCCAAATAACAAAAGACAGACACCTCTGGAAAAATTAGTTAAGTTTACAAAGTTAAGATCATCTGAAAGCAGAACAAACAACAAGAAAAAAGATTGGCTAAGAAAACACAGATACAATCCCCATTTCCTCTGGCATCGGCAGTTTATATAAAAGTCCTTTTCGCGTCATATCTGAAAGGACACCTAACTGGTAACCCTCTCACAAATTCACCAAACCATTTGTCTCCAACTTTGTTCCTTTAATTGCCACAGTCATGGGCATGCTAATTTAAATGAGCCTACCTCCCATATCGAATATACATGTCATCGCAATTATTGGTTCAGTGTATTTTTTGTAACATTGAAGAAATCTTATAAATCTGAATTGTGGCTTCTCTCTTTACATAGTCAGTCTTTGGAAGAGCAATTTATACAGGAAAATTAATTCCCATCTCCAAAGCCTTAGTGTGAGTTCCTTGACTGACAGCATGGTTGACAGCTTATAATTTTCTTCTATTGCCAAGAATTTGCCAACATTAGTCATCCTCTTTCCATATGGTGGTGGTGGCCAGTTTTAATTATCAGAGCATCTTAAGATGAAAATTTAAAAGTAAAAACAAGCAAAACCCCTTCAAAGGCTCCAAACACCCCGCAGAACAATGTTTAAAAGTGCAATAAAATATTGATACTGTAAAATGATTCAAAGGAGAAAGAAAAGACATGATGTAATTTCAGAGGTTGAAGAGGGGAGAAATAAAAGAAAGTGGAGTGGAGTTTCTCCAGGGAGGAGGAGGAGGAGGAGGAATGCCTTTAACAGCCTATATGGCTTTACAGAAACATTCCTTTCACTTGCCAGGTGCTCCTGGAGAAAATAAAACATTTTTTTATCCCACTCTGAGCTGCTTTAATCATACTCTTGCATGTCAAATAAGACTCTGCACTTTAAAGCCACAGAGGAAGAAAGCTGAAACAGAATTGCCACAGGGAAGAGGAAATTTCAAATTAAATAGTGGGGAAAGAGGGTAAAATTAGGGTCCATCTTTATTTCTTAACTGATGCAACAATATTTTATCAAATCTAGACAGACTATGGTTCGCAACTGTCAATATAAAATAGCATGCATTCAAAGGATTTAATGGAGCATTTATTAGGAGTTAGCTTTTCATTTCCACAGGGGTGCAGTACTTCAGATGCATTTGCCATTCAACATAACTTTAAATATACTTAAGATATATGGTGTATTTATGACTAAAGCCAAAGAAATAAAGTACTGTTGATGCTGGCTCTCAGGAGAAATCTTAAAAAATGAAAATGCAATAAATCTGGGCTTCGTTTGCAGAAAAATGGAGGTACATCACCAGATATGTTGATGTTCTATTCATTATCTGTATCAACAAGGTTAGTTAAAAAATAAACAAGTGGTTGGGGTTAACAACACAGTGTATAGAAGTGCTGTTTCCAAGAATACTATTTTATATCAGCACTAAGGAGCTAACCAACATTCATAACTTTTTCAAATATTTGCTAAACTCTCATTGCAATCATAAAGCAGCCATATGTTGGGAACATTAGCTGAGCGAATAATAACTGAATGTGAATAAACAAGACTATTACTTCAAAGGTCAATAGCAGTCAGAAAATGATACACAAAGCCAAACAAAAATCCAATATATCCCATATTGACTTGAATTCAAGTGTTATATAGCAAAGACAAGAACGTTACATTTTTTAAACAATCTATCTAATACTTCCTTAAGTTTGGAGTACATTTAATATACTTTTTACAGCACAGAAATAAGGGGGCTGTCGTGTTTAAATTAAATATTGAATCTGGCCATCCTAAAAGAGTCTGATGCTACCAGTTATGCCTATGACTATAATCCTATACATACACAATATATAAAAGGTAAGGGAGTCCCTGAAGATTTTAGTCCACTAATTGTTGCTGACTGTAGGGGACAGTGTTCATCACCATTTCAAGGCCAATGTCCGAAGATATTTCCGCAGTCATATGGCCAGCATGACATAACAGAGCACTTTTACCTTCCCACCAAAGTGGTACCTATTTATCTTGCATGTTTTTGAACTGCTAGATTGATAGGAGCTGGAGCAAGGATGGGAGCTCACCCCATCGCATGGCACCCAGTTGTCGAACCTGGGCTGCCAACTTTTCAGCCAACAAGCCCAGTATCTGAACCACTGAGCCACGACGCCACCCTTTGAGTATACAGTATATATTCTAAGGTAAATGCATTGAATACAGTGGACAAGTTGGATTTCTTACCTGCAACAAATGACAGCCTTGCAGGACAACGCTAGGTCCAAGAAGGATTTCCTTACTTCAAAGGAAAGGGCGTACTTTAGCGTCTGGCCATCTACAATCAAGGCAATATCATTTTCTTTGCCCAGTGAGTCTCCCAGATTTTCACAGTGCTGCGTTAATGCAGCTCTTGTTGCCTAAATGAAAAAAGGAGGACGAGGGAGGAGAAAACAACATTTTGTTACCATTTTTGTTAAGGAGGAAAACCCAAACTGGGAAGAATTTATTCAAGGAGGAATTCCGATATATTCCACATTTGTTATTGCATGCACATTACAAAAAAATGAAAATGCATGAAAAAGAAGGCAACATGACTTTTAGATTACAGACATAGTCTACTGCAGTGATGGGTAACCTTTTTGGCACTGAATGCCCAAAGCGCAGGCATGCGTGTGCAGCCCCAAAATGCAATACGCACACGTCCCCCATGCATGCATCCTGCCCCCCCTATATTTGTGTGCGTCCCCTGCACATGCCCCTCGGCAAGGACCCAAAATCCAGCTAGCCAGTGGGAGGCGCATGCGCACATGCACGGCAGAGCTAAGCTGGGGCATCGGCTCGCGTGTCCACAATGAGGTCTCTGCATGTCACCTCAGGCATGCGTGCCATAGGTTCACCATCACGGGTCTATTCTGATGTAAATCTTTCGAATTTCCCCAGTTATTGGATTAGTCATTAGCTGCTGGTAGGTGGCATTGGTAGAACTTGTGATATTTTCCTCCAGTCCAGAACGCACTGTGTGAGTTATTCATGTCCACATTAGGAGAGAGTTTGGACCTGCAAGTTAATGCAATCTTCCACATAAAGAGCTAACAGAATGAACACGCAGCTCTCTCTCCTAAAGCTGTAATGCAGAAAATGCAGAAGTTTATACTCTAAATTACATAAACTAAACTGGGGTGTGTATTTTATGTTGATTTACTTCACTACAGGACTTTAGTTTGAGCTGCTTCTCATTAAGATGATAACTTTAGTACTGGCTTCTGAAATGTTTCAATTTCTGTTTTTAACATTGGCTATATTTTATTACCATTATATTTGGGGGTGTTTTTTTGGGGTGGTGGTGGTGGTAAGTTGCCTTCTTTTCCTTGGCCAAAGAACTATAAAACATAAAATCTGCCAGTTTCTGAACTGAGCTGATGTAGTACGAAATAAAAAATGCTAGCCCATTAGCCATATACTTCCAGACGATTTTCTTCTATTTCCAATCCCAGCATACTGGGTCCTTTCCAGCTTCAACACAATGAGTATAAAAAATTTAGTGACTATTCACCCCTTATAAAACTACAAATAATTATCTCTCCTTCCCATATCCCATCTCTTATCTACAAACAAATCCACAAAACTTCATTTTTTCAATTCTGGTGTCCACAAAAAGTCCATAAAGGATTGCCAGAAGTAACAATGTATCTTGTTTTAACCTTGATCAAATAAAAGTAAAAGAAAGAAATATAAAGTTGTTTTAACAGTCTTAATTGAAAATAGTATACGAAGTTTAGTTCATTCAAATATTGTCATAGGATTTGATTTCTCTTCATTCCTTTTTTGTTCCATCATACAGGATTCTCCAAGATTTCTCCACGCCTTCTTTAAATTAATCCAAAGGAGAAAAAAAATTCGAGGTTGTTCTTTTGAGTTATCATTTGTATTTTCCTTTTGTATTTTAAAATATCAGCAAGTTTATTTTATAGATCCAGTGAAACATCCTTTTTCAAGTCATTCTCTTGGCTTGTTATCTGTAAATGAACTTTTGATACTATTTTTATATTGTCAATAAAATGTGTTCTACATCTGTTATTTCTTCAGCAACAGATTTTGGACATAGTCTATCCATAGAAGCAGATATTTTTTACTAACGTTGTTGATGTTGTGCTACTAATTTCTGATTCCATTCTTCAAAAGTCTATTTCAGTATTTTTATTGCTATTATGCTTTGCCTCAGTTTGCAGACTTGTATTTTTTCCTCTACCTAAAATCTTTAGTTCCTTCTAGTATCTAGTTTTTAAAATCATGAAATTATTTATCTGGGTTATGTCAACCACTAATTTAAAGAAGGCTGGAGAATTCTAATTAATTAAAATCTTCCAACGTGAAATGCTTTAGAGCAGTGGTGGCTAACTTTTTTTGGCTCTCGTGCTGATAATTGCACCCATGCTCACTTGTGCACTCTTGTGTGCCAACACCCAGAAAGCAATGCAAGCTGCCCCCCCATGACCCCTGCGCATGCACGCACAATCTCCCTTGCATGCCATATGTCTGTGCATGCGTGTGTGACTCCCTCCTTGTGCACCGCACATCTGCGCATGCACACGAGATTCCCCCTTGCGTGCGTAGTCTGCGCATGCGTGCATGATTCCCCCCTCATGCACCACACATCTTTGCGCATGCAACTCCCTGCTCACATGCTGCCTGTCTGTGCATGTGTGCATGTTTCCCCCTCGTGTGCAGCGTGCATGATCCCCTCATGCACAGTGCATCCCTGCACATGCACGTGCATCTCCCATGCACCCCTCTCTGCCACTATGCATGCATGCCAGATACCCGACAATCAGCTGTTGGGTGGCAGCGTGCGCATGTGTAGTGGGGCTCTTTCAGGCGACCTCTTGCGTCCAGGGAAAATGGCTCTGCGTGCCACTTCCGGCATGCACGGCATAGGTATGCCAATACGACTTTAGAGGATGAACCATCTTGTTACCTTCTTATTCCATATTTGCCATCAGAGGACCTCTTACTAATATCTTATTTTGTTTACCTTTATTTTGTTGGCAACTAGATAAGGACATCCGGTTATGACCTTGCAGATGTGAGCAGTATAAGCCTCTAGCGAACAAAGGAAAGCATACTTCCCATAGAAGAGAAACCCAGAACGTTTATACCACCATCCTAAATGTGTTCTTTTCTACTTCTGATTATCAAATAAGAAGTTCTGGGCTTCCCCTCTGTGGGAAGTATCCAAATGGAGCCAAGGGTTGTTTTCTACTTAGAGGTTTAAGTTTGTGGCAGGTCTGACACAAGGTTGGAGAATAAATTGTTTGGATCCAATCCAATATCTTTAATTAGTATCTCTGAATTAACGTAACCTTAACTAAAGATCTTTAAATCTATGCTTAATATTCATAAACAAATCAATTCTAACTTTTCCCTAGATGGGCAGATACTAAAGCTGAAGCTCAAATACTTTGGCTATCAAATGAGTCGACAGGAGACATTGGAAAAAATCCTGATGTTAGGAAAGATTGATGGCAAAAAGAGAAGAGGACCAAAGAGAATGAGATGGTTAAATAGCGTCATTGATGCAATGAATGTGAATTTGAGCAAAGTCTGGGAGGGCCTGCCATACTATGTTCCATGGGGCCACAAAGAGCCAGGCACGACTTAGCAACTGAATAACATATCAGAGTTTAGATTATTTCCTTTTATAATGCTCTAAATTGTAGATATAACTGCAGAAAATTAGAGTGGGTGGAATTATATTGGTCATAAATAAAAGTAATATATTATGCATGACTGTAATCTTTTGCATGTTTTTGATGTAGTTTCATTCTTTGGTGAACGTATACTGGTTAATTTAAATATTGAACATATCATTGCTTTCGAGACCAGTCTATTCATATGGCTGTTGTGGGGAAAAATGAAAGTTGAAAACCCTCATTTTTAAAATAATGGGGGGAAACCAGGCTAGAAACTTAACAAATACATAAAGATCAATTTCCATCACTTTGAGAGGTAAATGCTAAGAATGAACATATATAAAACTCGCATAGCATTATTCCTAGCTGCAAAATTAAATTCTCCAGAATAACTCTGTTTTAGAAAGCATTTTGTTCTAAAGAATTCTGGGAAATTTAAACCAGCAGCTGAAATGTGAATGACTTTTCCCTAAGTTGTGAAAATTACTCCATCTCAAAACCACAAAAGAAAGGCAGTTTCATTCCCATCCAAATTCAACACAGACTAAACATTTTGCTAAAAGTTCAATAAAGCTGGAATATGAAGCATTTAAAGAATGGACAGAATATTCCATCCATAGAATTAGTAATCATAATATCCAGCATGACTGAATAATCCTATCAATACAAAACTTTTTGTAGGGAAAAATGAGAATGATCTAATTAGAAAGATCTAATTTAATTTCAACAATGCAAGAAAAACAATGAATGAATCGACATTTCTCCTATTCTTTAGTTTCTTCCCCAAACCCCAAAAACTTTAACCTTAGACTATCTACTATTGACCTCACCCCTTTCCTAAGAGGTCTGTAGGGGGCGTGCATAAGCGCACCAACGTGCCTACCATCCCTGTCCTATTGTTTCTTTTATTTTTATTTTATTTTTCTTATATGTACCCATTTCATGTATTCATAACTATGTAAACACTTATACTTATTATCTTGTAAACAATTGACAAATAAATAAAATAAATAAAAAATAAATAAAAATAAATAAATTTAATTTAAAAAACTATTTTTGATGTTAACTGACAATATCCTGCATAATTATTAGTGGATTTCTAACAAAGCAGTATCTGAAATATATTTTCTAAAACACAAGTTATTTAACATGTTTCCAACATGTTTAACATTATTCTACAATGCTTCTAGGGTCCAGCTGTGCTAATCACAGCATTTTTGTCCAGTGGGCTACCCGATGCCCTTGAAAATGTTTCCTTAAATAAAGAAAAAAAAAGTTGAAAATGTTTTTCATTTACACAACATAACCTAAACCTGTTTTTCTCAATTAATCTAATTTTCCGAGTTAACATGACACACTAAATTATATACTAAGCAGACATACCAGGTGGGTAGGTGAGTACAGCTTAGCTTTCAGACCTGCTAATGGGTCATAAGTGGCCATCTGCTGAGGAGAGCAGAAAGGATAAGGATGGGGGGAAAAAACATCCGCTTATTTTGTTTTTCAGTTCGGGGAAAAGGAGTCCAACAGTGGGAACTGGAGCATGTCTTCTATTATTTTTGAAGCAAAAAAATGCACACCAAATTTTAACTACAGCTAATTCTTGATTTACAGTCTACAATTGGATCAGAACTTCTGCTGCTAATCAAGGCAGTTAAATGGACCGTGCCCATTTTATGATGGGGTTTGCTGAGTGAATCACCAGTCATTATGCCAATCCAGCTTTC